AAAAAAAGAAATTCACTGAAGTGTACAAATGAGATCTGAACACTTCAACTGTATATAAATTAGACCTCAATAAACAAATTTAAATTTAGACTATTTTAAGTTAAATAAAAAACTCTTCCTTGGATCCCTAGCTCAAATAATCCTTGATATTAACCTGTTTGTAGAGTGGAACCTTCAGAGATTTTACTGTGTGCAAATGTGTGGGTCAAAGTCTGTATTTACAAGAGGATTTGAAGTGGGAAAAAATGGAAAGACAGAAACATGACAAACACAATGACCTAAAGCCTCTTATATAAATGTCACCACCACCACCAAGAGTATTTTATTCTCAAACCAACAGCACAAATGATCCAGCCTTTCCTTCCTTACTCCTTTCTAACTTTTAAAAGCACATTCAATTTCTCATAAAGTAACAAGTGCATAAGCAAAGATGGGGCAGACTTCAAGTTATTTATTTACACTGTACTTGAATGGATGGAACTAGCTTATAGCCCACATTAATTTTCTTAATGAACAGATATTAATGAGCAACAGAAATGAAAGGGCAGAGAATCAGGAGTAACAGGAGGCATAATGGACAAGAATTCAGAACCAACATTCTTCCCAGACAAGGATCAACAAGCATGATGAAGGACTGGAGATGTGGCTCAGTGGCAGATCACTTGCCCAGCATTCCTGAGGTCCTGGGTGCCATACCAAACATCACAAAAAATTTGTGGGGGTGTGTGCAGATATCACAGGTCAAACTTGTCAGGAGACCAAGATGATTTTTTTTCACGACAATGAAAAGGAGACTTGCATAGACCTTGCCTACCTCTGAACATGCAGATTATTTCATCACACAAGGTTCAAAGACCAGGCTTGTAAAACCACGTGAAACTGACCATTAAATTTCCAAAAGTCTATCTATTTTTAACACAAGTTAGTCCAAATCAGGGTACTCTGGCCCAGTTCCTTCATGCTCTCTCCTGCATTCCTTTCAAATTGTTTAGGCAGAAAAATTCCCTAATGGGCAGGAGGAGGGAATCAAGAAACAAAAGATAGGTAGTAGGAGGTGAGCAAGAAACCTTGAAGAGTCAATCCCCAACCACCCAGAGAGGCTTCCAAACACTCCATCTCTGACAGAGGTACATGATGCCAGACTTCAGCAGGAAGCTAACATTTGCTCTGGCAACAGCTCTAACCCCGACTGCTGTTCTTCAGTGTGACACGGAGCCTTGTCCTAAAAAGGTGATCCATTTTCTGAGATATGGAAAGGGAGAACAGCAATTCTTTATAGAAAGGGCAGGCCAGTCAACATGTATCTGTTTAATGCAAGTGGCTGTTCTCAAAGAGGAACACCCAACAGGCCATCTGAATGCTACAGATGTCAGCAGGAAGCCAGTGTCACCACAGCTTGCCTGACCCTCTCCCTGGTAAAGATGGCAGGGACTGTTCAGAAATGTGCCAGAGTCCTGTGAAACTGACAGGCTCAAAAGATCCAACAAAAACTAAGATAAAGCTCATGCTTCTGAGTGACTGTTTCTCACAGCTCAGTGGCTAGGAGTGCTTCATTCCAGGGGACCACACCCTGATAATAGACAGAGCCCACACCCCATTAACCACCAGGGCTGACTCAGGAAAAGGGCTGAGTCTGAAACATCACCACTGACATCAGAGTCTGTGTAATGTTTCTGTAAACCACTCCCAAGGGGTCAGAGTTTCAGCAGTACCAATGGGTCAAGGGCTTCTAGGAAAACCCACAGCTAAAGAGAAAGTGACAGTCACTGGAAAGCAAGCAGATCCTATAGTAGAACTTCTCAGCCTACTATTGGTTCCTCAATTCCATGGAGGTTCAGTACACAGGGAAAGACAAGAGAGGCCATTTAATGGCTTGTTTCAAGCTTTGGTAAAGGAAATTTGGTTACCTTGGGGCTTACAATAATTCACCCTCAACAGGAAGGATCATAAACTCAAGGTCTTTGTCTCATCAAAATTTGAGGTCAAGCCAGACATGGTGGCACACGCCTGTAATCCCAGCACTCAGGAGGCTGAGGCAGGAAGATCACTGTGAGTTCAAGACCAGCCTGGACTACATAGTGAGTTCCAGGTCAGTCTCAACTACATAGTGAGGCCCTGTCTCAAAAAACCAAAAAAAAAAAAAAAGAGGACACATAATCAAAATATAAAGTAGATTCCAAACTGTTGGATGAGGCCAAAACAAGAGGCCTTCTCCCTGTTCCCCAGCAGGGACCACACCTTCAAAGTCAGCCTCTGGGCCCTCAGTCCCTCCAGAATACTGTGCCCGCCTCCAATAAGGTCATCCATGCTGTGGTGAATGTTGTGCAGGGAGGAGTTAAACTGCAGTGATTCATCCATTGGTATGGTGGTGTCGGAGTCCTGTGGAAGGAACACAGGCACTTTATTAACTTGGCTTCCTAGTTAACTCCTGGGAACCCACATCTGACCACTCTGCCTTTTGTCCAAGGCCAACCCAGAACAGCCAGAGGGAATGATGTAAGAGTCAGAGAACCCAACATGGAAGAAAGAGCAAAGCAATGGTGCGAGGAGGCCTTCATTCACACAGAACAAGTTTCTCCAGAACTGTCACTCTCCAAATGAGTTCTGCTACACTAGTGTCATTAATTTCTGACCTTGTATAATTTCCTCACTTAAGAAAAACGATTCCTGCTTCTCGGCCTTTTGGCTAAGATCAAGTGAAGAAAAACGATTCCTTCAGGATTTTGTTGGTTTTTTCCTAAAGGCATTTTCTGATTACTCACTAGGATAACTGTTCCAAATGTTCCCTTACTTGGCTTCCCCTTAATGTAGCATTAAATGTTTGCTTTATTCTTTTGCTATTTTATCTACAGCTTATCCCTCTGATTAGACTGAGACTAAGGATCACAGCAAACTTCTACTGAAGGCCTGATTACGTTCACAATGGAAATACACTCCTTAGCAGGCAAGAAACATTGCTAAAGAAATGAGGGGGCGGGGGGTACAGGTTGAATATACCTTTTCTGAAATATTTGGAACTAGAAATATCTCAGATTTCAGAGGTGCTCAGATTTGAGTATTAAGAGATTTTACCAGTTGAGTAGACTTGATATGAAAATTCAAAATGCTGTTTTGGATTTTGGAGCAGTTTGGATTTTGGACTTTCAGATTAAAGATGACCCATCTGTACTAATCAAGTGCTTTCCACTTCACAAGCTCATAAAGCTAAACTCAGTCCTCACTCTATGAGGTCAAGTGCTTTTCACTTCACAAGCTCATAAAGCTAAACTTAGTCCTTACTCTATGAGATACTCTAATTATTTCCATTTTACAGATGAAGAAACTGAAAGCCAGAAAGATGGAAGAACTCATCCAAGATCACATAGCTCGTAAGAGATCTAATGGGGCAAGAGTCCTAGGACTGAATGCAGTATCTGCTGTTAATCACAGTGTAGAGAGAAACAGCAAGGCCAGTCCTGATGGTTGTCATTTCATATTTAAAGTGAACTGTGGACAGGAGAAAGTCATTACAGTGTAACAGTGCTGTCCTTCTCCTGCTTCTTGATGAGAATAAACTCCTACCAAGCCATGCTGTTTTTACCACTTGAACCCCAATTTCCATTGGCACAAAGAGGTTAAATGATTTCAATCATCCCAGCTAACACTGAAGTGTCTTAGAGGGAAGAGTGATGTTTACCAATTTTCTCACACACTTTCTACTCTCCCAGCATTTTAGAGTTCTGCATACAGTTAAGGCTTAGTGGGTCAAAAACTTCCATGGGCTGGGGATTTTGCTCAGTGGCACTGTGCCAGCCTTGCAAGCACAAGGTCCTGAGTTTGATCCTTGGTACCGCAAACAAACAAACAAACAAACAAAACCCTCTAGTATTTGTTTTTGTTTTTTTTTTGGTACTGGGGATTGAACTCGGTTATTTGTGCTTGCGAGGCAGGCGGTGGAACCACTGAGCTAAATCCCTGGCCCAAAACTCCAGTATTTGAAAATAATAAAAGACAAGCATTTATTGAATGCCTTTTATAAACAAATCTTTCTTAGCTAAATAAGGATTAAAATGAATAATTGATAATATGAAATAGGAAGAAAAGGTCTGGAGAGGTAGGGAAAAGGAAAAAATACAAGGAAAGGAAAAAATGGAAACAAAGTCTTTGTAAAAAGGGAAGGGTGGAGGAGTTAAAGGGAGGGCAGGGGAATGGGGAAAAAAATAAGAACCAGGATACATCATGTAAAGGTACAAGTTCCTAATGATAAATGTAAATGTACTGAATACCCAAAATGTATCAATAAAAGAATTTAAGGAAGAAGACAAAAAAAAGCTAATAGGTAATTGGCCAGTAACTCCCAGAAAACATGTATCACAGCTCCAGATGGTAAAATGTCCATAAAAAAGTTTCATTTGATAAGCCAATGTTTATTAAGATCTACTATATATACAGCCTCATGTAAGAAAGACAAGAAACAAAATAATCCTGAGAGATTATCCGTGGCCTAAAAAATGCTTGAATGCAACAATGTAGCTATCAAAAACCTATACTTTTTTTTGGGGGGGGGATTGCTGAATGAATTCAAGGCTTTGCACTGGGTTATATACCCCCCCGCACCCTCCCTGTACTCCTGTCCCCCTTGTGAGGCAAGGTCTCACTAAACTGCCTAGGCTGGACTCAAACTTGTGGTTCTACTTCCTCAGCATCCCAGAATGCTGAGATTACAGGCATGTACCACCACACTCAGCCCTATACAACATATTTTAGTATGTTTCATAGTATACTAAATTTTTGAATGGTTAATCATTGTGACTTCACTGCTTACCCTAGAAAATCAAAAACTATGTAGAACTATCCTGGCACATTTTGAAAAGCTTACTGCAATGCATGGTTGGAGCAATAAGAGTTAAGTATCTGCAAAGTGGAAAATGATAGGAATTCTAATGACAGGCTTAGAAAACAGGCATCTCTCTAGAAAATAATCCCTTCAGTAAGAAACAAAATATAAAAACTCCCAAACCACCACATTTGGTGGAATGTATTACACAGGACACAGAAAAAGGCCCGTATTTCTACAGTCATCCACTTTCAGGGAATGATCCTACTAAGGAGCCAGGACAATAGGATCTAAGAAATCAAACACGAAAGCCGAAGAACAAGCCATTTTCAAACAGATTCAAGTCAAACAGGTCATCTAACACTACACATCTGTTAACAAATTCCTCCAAATTGCTGCCCAGACCAGAGGCAAAAACATTTTAATGCATTTGACACTGGAACCACACACATACACAGCACAATGGCAATTGCCTGGAGGCAGCTTTGAAATGCTGCCTTCCCTACAAATGATCTAAGTTCTAATCATCTGTCTCTATCTGATCACCAAAAACATTTAGACCATGTGAACTTCCACCTCTCTGCCTCGGAAAGTCAAACCAGGTTATTTTCACCTCTGCTGTTTCTTCCATTTAACTATTTCCTCTTCAAGGTTACTTGATGGAAAGAGAAATTCCTTGTCTCAGCCTGGTCTCTGTGGCAACCCACAAAGGCCCTTGTCATTTCCATCTGGTCTTATCAGTCTGTTTCACCCCCAATGCCCAGAAGATGAAGCTGAGCTGAGCTGAGCCCAAAAATCTGTCATGTGCCCCACGACCCAGACTTACTTACATTAGTGGTGAAGGTACGAGACAGAAGCTCCTCTCGCTGTCTCTCCTGCTGCTCCTTGGCATAGCGCCGATGTTGGAAGTTTCTAAGAGCAGTCTGCAGGTGCTGGGCATCATACTTTAACTGGTCTACTCTCCTGCAGTTGATGGAGAGACAGATTAAATTCCAGGAATCTAAGGAGGTACAATTTGAGGAAGCCAGGCTGTGTATCCAGGACAGATCTTTTCTTACCCCCCAAATCTGATGTAGACCAGTGATACTGAAAGTGAAGAAGTAGACTGTGGTTAAAGTAGGTGCTAGCACATAAGAATCCAGCAGCTTTACTTAAATATGTGCTGGTCTCTGATTCTAGATGCACAACAGGGAGCAGGTGACAGGAAGCAGGTTTGATGAATGCTTCCTGACCTTCTGTGGATTATATCACTCTCCTGGAAGAAGCCCAGGGGCATCTTTGAGGTAAAGAATCAATGAAGTTCCATAAAATTTTGGGAACAAGGGCTGGGAGTAGAGGTGTTGAAGGCGGCTTCATTGTAATTTCCTGGTATAGCATTAAACATCAGATCAATATTTCATTACAAATAGATTGATTCAAATGATGATTTAAGAGTAGTTTCATTTCAACCCAGTAAGACCAAATAATAAAGCCATATTGCTTGCCAGCATTGGGTTTCAAGAAGCCACGGGTCTGGTCAGAAAAACCAAACTGGAGGTAAAATTTCAAAATAACACCAGAGGGAAGAAATCACAGGCCTGTGAGCTACAAATCTATAGGCTTTTGATTTTGGGGTGTAGCACTCATAAAACTGTGCCCTTCTGGAGGAGACTTTATTTTTACATAGTCTCAGTTTTTTTAGTATGTACATGGATTTTTGGGATATTCTATAGTCTCCCCTAGGAGAAAGGCCTGCCTTGATGGACTTAGGATAGCACAACCATGTCAGAGGTCAGTACTCACAGTTTGGCATTCTGCCTTTTATTAGGAGGCTCCTTGCTGGACAAAATCTCCAGGCGTTCTAGACGGCTGAATACCTGGTCTATGCTTGCTTGTATTTCATTTTCTACTACTGTACAAAAGAGAAAAAAGAATAACTGCTGGAAAAGAGATAATGAACTTAAATTAGGATGATAAATCAAACTTATTTTTCCATAAAAGCTAAAAAATACATATTTCAAAGGGAAAAAAACCACATATACAAATGAATGGAAAAAATTTAAGGTATATTATTAATGTGTTTTTATATGTATACATGATACTTACAAGATATGATAAAAATACATTGTTTTGGGCTGGGGATAGATAGATGGATGGATGGATTGATTGATTTCTTGTGATACCAGAGATCAAATTTGGGCCCTTGCGCTTTCAAGGCAGGCAGTGGAACCACTGAGCCAAATTGGGCCGGGGACTTAGCTCAGTGGTTCCACCGCCTGTCTCAAAAGTGCTAGGTCCCAGGTTCGATCCACAGTACCAAAAAAAAACAAAACAAACAAAAAATTATTTAAATTTTTAGAGATTTATTACAGTAAAAGGCACAATGTCATTAATCTTTCTTGAAATACTCCTGCTCCTTTTAAACGTACTTATTTCATCACTCTTGCCACTTCCTGAAGTCGTTCTGGAAGTTCTTCTTCATAAATGTCTTTAGTTGCACCGTTGTAGCTATCTGAATGTCCTGAATCAATTCAAAATGTTTCTATTTCATGGTCATTTCCACTTTGGGAAGAGCAAGAAGCTGCATGCTGCCGGATTCAGGGAAGTAAGGTGGACGAGAACACACTGTAATATTTTTACAAGCCTGCCTTTCCCCTGGATGGCGTCGGCGGCAGCATTCACTGTATTCCTGATCATGCCTCATAAATATATGAGAGATGGCTTTCACAACTGTTTCAGAAAGTGGCAAGAGAGCAATGAGTAAAGTGTGTTCCAAATGAGAGGGAATATTCTGAGGGGGATCAAGGGCAACGGTGTTTCACTGTAAGTTCTCCTATTTTTTAAATCATCTTTTGTGTGTATACACACATGTCAATTTTTTATAAATTAAAAAGTATATCTATAAAAGTAACATTTAAAAATTGCCCAAATATTTTAAGCTTAATTTTCTGATATAGACGTTTTTCTTTTGAGATTGGTCTCAAAGATTATAAGCACCTAATAAAAAGAATGCCAATTGAATTCCCTAAAGATATAAGGTTAAAAATTTTTTAAATAAAAATGAAAAGCACAAAGGAAAGAAAAATTCATATGTAAACATACAGAACAATGTTCACCAAAGGCTTTATGTAATAAGCAGTGGGCTGAGCTGTTAGGATTCCCTAAAATTGACTAAGAATCATTCAGAAAAGCCCAGGGAAGAATCCACAGAGGTAAAAAGATAGGATAAATATGTTCATTTTCCATATTCCCTTTGATGAAGACAGTCAAATTGACCTCTTTTCCATTTCTAATCATTTAACAATGAGATTGTTGGAAGGGCAAACAAAGTCCGATGGACAGAAACAGAACCAGGCACAAAAGAAAACATCTAGGCTGCTTCTTGACCCACCTAGAAGGGACAGCAGTAGCACTGCCCCCTCCCAGGCCTTCATACCTACAGTGAATATATGCTACTTAAATTAGGATGCCATGGGGTCCTGGGGAAAGAGAAGAGATTCTTTAGGACAGAGGAGAAAATGCAGAAATAGGCATGGCATGAGCCAAGCAGTGAACTGACAAGAGCTCTCTGGGAGTCTGTATGGTTGACTCAAAAAAGAGTCCTTTTCTTGGAGCCAGGTTAAAAAAAAAAACTCCTCAATTCTCAAAAAGAAATCATGGTGTGGGAACTACACTAATTAATAATGCTATTCATCTCTCAATAATCCTTCTAAAAAGCCAGAGCTCTAAGCTCAGAAATGTCCAATATAAGTCAAACATCTCTGAATTTTTATGGAGTGCATTCCTCTAAAGACTAGGTAATTAGATTAAGACAGATGGGGGAAAGGACCTCCATCCCCATACAGCCATGTCAGGTTGAGTGGAAGGGTGATGGGGGATAAGAATTGGGATTCCAAAAGGTACAATCAGGGCAATCAGTGACTTTGCCATAGGGTTGTTTGTTGTTGTTGTTTTGTTTTTTGGTACCGGGGATCAAACTCCGGACCTTGTGCTTGTGAGGCAGGCGGCCCAACCACTAAGCTAAATTCCCAGCCCCTGCCATAGGGTTTTTCTTTCTACCCTACCAACAAAACTCATTCCATGCTAAATTAAGCCCCCAAGGCAGAATGCAGTCAGGAAACCCAGCCCATTAGCACCGTGTCATCAGAAAAAGGACTCTGGTCGCCATAGTTAATTACTCACAGTGCAGAGACTGCTTGTCTGCTGTCTCCAGGCGTCCCATGTGAGACTGGATCTCGTGGACCTGCCTATCAGAGGACGAGAGAGGAAATGAGTGAGACAGGAATAATCAAGAGTGTTGTAGTCAGGAAAGACAATTTTTCTGATGCCAACATATAACTGATTTAAAATGACAGCCAAGCTGAACTGTAAAATTTGTATGTGATGCTTTAGGCCATACATTTTGGCATGGTTTGTAATATATGAATTTCTAATATGTGAATGCTAATATTAATAATAATACTTATAAGTAGCATTTAGTGAGTACTTGCTATATCCAAAACCCTGCTAAGTCAATAACCCTATGAGTAAAGCACTATCATTGTCTTCACTATTAATAAGACAACTGAAACCCAGAAAGGTTATGTAACTTTTTCAAGATCATACAGAAAGTGATAAACTCAACCCAGATCCAGCCAATCCTACTTTCTGTTCTATGACCCAATGTGCTGAGCCCTGGTCTGTACTGCAAAGAGTCAAAGGGCAAGGGAGAGATAAGCCTTGTCCTTGAGAAACAATGTAATTAGGAATGACAGCTCAGATAGACATGAAAAAGTCCTGAGAAGATTTACGAGAAAACCAATACACATAAGCGTAAACAAACAGAAAGCTGAGGAGATATACCCAGTGGTGTGAGGCAAAGGCTTGCAAATAGAAAGATCAGGGCCAAGAAAGCATAAGCTGGGAAGTCTGTGGATGGAGGTAGTTCTGAGCAACACTTTGAAGAAGGGAGGCATGATTTAGTGGAGGAAAATGATATGTGAAAAGGTCTGCAATGCATGTCATGCTATACACTGATTGGCCCACTTGAAAGAGCGTCAGTTAGAGTAGAGGATGAGACAGGAGTTGGAGGAAGCTATTTAGAGGAAGGCCCTAAAAGATAGGAATTTCCCATTTGGTAAACATCTTTCCCTAAATGCCATCTCATTTGGAGACACAACATGGTCCCAGTCATCAGGAACCAGAACCCTGAAAGCTTCCAGTGCCTGGCCAAGGTTAGCTTCAGAACCCTTTCTGGGGGTTCCATCACTAGTCCTTGTAATACAGCTTATGCCAGCCCAAACAATTGCCTCCTGGTGCTTATGATCTAAGCAGCCCACATGGAAGGGGCCTCAATTCCAAGCCTCCAGGGAAAAAAGGGTCAGCAATCCTGCTCCACTGTGTGCACTGCAGACTGTGACCACAAATTTACCAGTGCCAGCCAAGAGCCCAAATTTGATTTCATCTGGCCTCTACTCTTTTCCTGGGCTTCAAAGTATGTCCTAGAAGTACCAGGAATCATCTAAGGACTAAGTTTTCTAAAGACTTCTAAGTCTCTAAGGACTTCTGGAGTATGCCTAGGCAAGCCTTGTAACCCTGAGAAGTAACTAGAAATCGCTCCTAGAGTCTCAAGACTAGAAGGTTGCTTTAGTAAGGTAAGTCAGTCTAAGGTATTTTAGAATGGGTGGGTGGGGGAGATATGGAAGGTGACACAGGAATGCAGACTGAGGTAACTACCATATGGAACATCTGGAGCAGGGTAACCATAGGAATAGCTACAGAAGACTGAATGGAAATATGGATGGATAGAAGAATTAGGGCTTTATAGAAGGCCTGGATGTAGGTAGTGAAGTAAATTTGCAACAGTGACTTAATAAAGTAAATCAGAAAGGTAGTGGCAGGGACAAGGGGGGGGGTAGCACACAAAATATAGCCAAGACAACTCTGAGGAACTATTTGGAAGGATAACTTGTTTTACCTGCTTTTTTTTTTTGGTACTGGGGATCAAACTCTATCTGTTATTAACACTTATTACAAAGCCATAATGGTAACAGTGCAGGATCAAAGGACAAAGAAAAACCCTAACCCCCAGACCAAAAGCAAAGAAGAGGGCACCAGAAGCAGTCATATATTTGGGAACTTGGTGACATAAATCAGTTGGAAAAGAATGGACTACAGGGTGTAGCTCAATTGTAAAGTGTTTGCTTAGCATACATGAGATCCTGGATTTTATTCCCAGTTTCTTGAAGAAAGAGGACGAACAGGCACAAGGGGGGCAGGGGATGAGGACTAGGAAGAGGATGATGAGAAGGAAGAGGAGGACAAGAGATTACAATAAATGCTGATAGTTCATTTTGTTGTTCACATGGAAAAAAGACACCTCACTAAACACACACACCAAAAAAACTCAATATGGTTTAAAACCTAAATGTAAAAGGCAGTTTTCAAACTTTCTGAAGAATACAGGTGTACAAAAATGACCCTGGGTTTAAAAAGAAATTTTTTGTTTGTTTGTTTTTGAGACAAAAATCTCACTTTGTACTGCAGACTGGCTTTAAACTCACTGTATAGCCCAGGCTGGACTTGAACTCACAGAGACCCTCCTGTCTCAGCCTCCCAAGTGCTGGGATTACAGGTGTGAGTCAAAATGCCCAGCAAAGAAAGATTCCTTATAATAAATCCCAACTTCCTCCTCAAAACCCACAAACCATAAAGGAAAGGATTGACAAATCTGACATTAAAACAAAAAAATCCTTTGTACCAAAGATACCATAAAGTAAAAAAATAAAAACATGATTCCTGGTACCAGGAAAAGAAAAATAAAAACATGAAAGACTGGAAGACCCTGGCAGCAAACACAGGACTGACAACAAGAATATGTTTAAATAACTGCTAAGTCAAACAGAACAATTATTTAAATGAACAAAGAGCAAATAACAAAAAGAAAACCTATATGATCAATTAATATATAAAGAAATGTTCAACTTTACTAGGAACTCAGTAAAACACAGAAACAATGAGATCATAGCTCCATCAGGATAACAAGCAAAGTTTAAGAACACACACATTAACGTGAATGTAGGGGAACAAGACCTCTCATACCTGGTTGGTAGGATTATAAACTGGTAAAACAATTTAACAGTCTTCTGATTATATCTAGTAGAATCAATATGCGTCTATTATATGACCCAGAATTCCACTTCTAGTAGTATGTCTTAGAGATTCTGGCATATATGAAGGAGACATATACAACAGTAATGTTCCTCAAAGCATTTCTGTATAGGCCCACAACCTACCACCCACAATTCTGAAATCCAAAAAGTTCTGAAAAACCAAGCTTTCTGCAAACTAATTAGATGGTAAAAACTGACCAGACATGAAATCTATGGTTTTTGTTTATGCCAGTGTAAAATTTCACTGCAATTTCTCATGTATCCTGTATTGCCCTTATGCTGAGGATGTTATATTGCATAAGGGTATATATACTACATTTGTTTCCTAAAAGCTTAAAGAGAGCTGAATTCCATAGTAATTTTTAAATTCCTTAAGCATTTCAAATAAAACTCTCTGCATATACATAGCAAACAAACAAACAAAACTGGTAATAATCCAAGTATTCAAGAAGGAAATTAGTATTTCAGTTTAATTAAACTATAAAGCAGTTTAAATAAAAGACCTAGATCTATTCACATTAAAATGGAAAATAAGAATCTTTATGGTAAGACAATATTAAATGAAAAAAACCCCAGCAGCATATCAGTACACACACAAATAGTAGTAAAGACTGCATGTGGATATACATATAGGAAGAATAAAATCATAGACAAGAAGGACTATCTCTGGGGCTGAGAGAACAGGTGCAGGATCTTTTAATTCAACTTCTGCCTCTCAGTCAATAATCTGAAGCATGTGTATTAATGAGTCCTGACATATAGGTTGTTCCTATTTTTATGTTTGAAATACTTCACAAATAACTAAATATAATGGGGCCCCACCCCTCAGGCATTAAGAGTCAATCGTTTGCCAGTTAAGTGGCACACATCTGTAACCCCAGCTACTCAGGAGACTGGGGCAAAAAAATCACAAGTTCCAGGCCAGCATGGACAACTAGCAAGATTCTGTCTCAAAACAAAATACGCAAAAAAGCCTGAGGATGTAGATCAGTGGTAAGCCCTGGGTTCAATCATCTGGACTTGGGAGGAAAAAAAGGCAATGGTTTAATGAGGACCATCATTCACACATTCATTAAATAAGTTCGATATACAGTCAACGGTCTGTAAGAAATGAAACTATGGGTATGTCAACAGTGGGAAAAGACTGATACACTGAAGATGCTTTAGTAATTTCATGAGGCACTGGTAGTTTCTCATGATATTTTATGATCAATACGGCTTCATCATTAATATAGATTGAGGGAATCATGGAAGGCTATACAATTATACCCCAGACATAATAGGAAATTTTTCTAGCATTCCATGACAGGGCTGTCACTGACTTTTACGTTTTGTAAAAAAAAAAAAAAAAATTAATAAAATGATTGTATGCACAAGAAGTTCACATAGGATTATGTGCTATCGTGAGTGGTTAGGATATTCTATGACAAAACAAGTATAAACACTTTTCATTTAGGTTAGAAGAGTAAAATGAACTTTGTCAAGGATGAAAAATATTCTGTCTTTAGATTAACATTTAAGTCAACTGCACAAATATAGACTAACAATTCTGGAAGCCTCCTGTTAAAGAAACAAAGGTTTTCCCCAATAAAAGATGAACAGGATGATTAGGGAAGAGCTTGGAAGTGAGAAGAATAGTCCAAAGAGTTTATGAAACCAAGTCTCTGGGAAAAGAAAGAACAAACCCACTAATATGGAGCAGCTGGTACAGAGTTGGCATATTAGGAGGAGAAATCAGCTTATTCCTTGTTGCTGCTTCTTAAGGGAGACCCAGAACCATAATGTACACATTTTAAAATGACAGATTTCAACTTGACATAGGAAAAAAAAAACAAGCACAATTATAAACTGCCTCTTCAAGAAAACAGGAGAAAAAAGAGCCCCTACAGGTTTCAACACAGGGTACATGGATAGTCTTGGGTTTTATAAAGGTCTTCCTGACCAAAGACAAAGTAAGAGTAGAAGATTTTACTAGTTTCTTTCAAGTCTTAAGTCTATAAGGACAGCCGGGCATGGTGGTGCACGCCTGTAATCCCAGCACTCGGGAGGCTGAGGCAGGAGGATCGCTGCAAGTTCAAGACCAGCTGGGCTACAGTGAGTTCCAGAGCAGTCTGAACTACATAATGAGACCTTGTCTGAAAAAACAAAAAACAAACAAACAAACAAAAAGTCTATAAGGACAGCAGGAGAGATGATAATAATACCCTAACAACACTCTGGCTGCCTTTGTAGTGCTGTTTTTTAAGCTAAAAAGGATAAACTTTAAGAATCTCATTTGATTTCTATTTGCTTTGAATAAATTAGAGAAGGTATAGCCAATGGCATGACTCCAAACTTTATTTCACGCTGAGGAGAGATAAATGCAAACAACACAGCAAATACAAATCACACAGTGAAAACTACAATTATGCCTTAATGAGAAATCAGTTTCAAACCGAACCAGTAGTTCAGACAACACACTCACAGCTGACAAGGTGATACACAAGTACAACCTGGGAGCAGAGACATAAGAAAATCTTAGCCTTATTTAGCATGGGGTCCACTGTAAGCTTAGGTGATAATAAAACAGGTAAAGAACTACCAGGAAGCAAGCAAAGAGCACTGCTGCTCCTTTTAAAAATGGCTTACAGGGCCGGGATTTAGCTCAGTGGTTCCACTGCCTGCCTCACAAGTGCAAGGACCAGAGTTCGATCCTTGGTACCAAAAACAAAAAAACAAAACAAAAATGGCTTGCAGAAGATGTAGGAAGAATTTTAAATGGAACTTCTCTTTAAAAGTCCATAAAACAGGGCCAAGGATTTAGCTCAGTGGTTCTGCTGCCTGCCTCTCAAGTGCACGGTCCTGAGTTCGATCGCTGGTACAAAAAAAGTCCATAAAACTACCCAACCAAGCACAGTGACTTTCTATGCATGCTACCTCTGACTAAAAGAAGAAAACAGGGTTTGGAAGTTAAAGGTTATGTACAAACTAAGGGACACTAGTGAGTCATTCTACTCCTTGATGCCTCCATCTCAACTATAAAATAGGGGCAGTAATGTTAATAATGTTTTAAAAATTACAGGCCCCAATGCAATATAAAAATGCTGTGTAACCTACACAGCCTCACATAAATTTGCTGTTGTTTTTACTTTACTTGAAAGTAGCAAGACCTACCTAGTCATTTTTACATCACCCAATGTGCCTGTATATTTAGCCTTTATGTCACGAGGAGGCAAAATTGAAAAGGAAAAACATGATTGTGAGATTACAGTTTTTTGTTTTTGCACTGGGGATCAAACTCAGGACCCTGTGCTTGTGAGGCTGGTGTGGTGCCTCTGAGCTAAATCCTGGTCTCGTTTTGTTTTGTTTTTTGAGACAGGGTCTCCCTATGTAGTTCAGGCTGGCCTTGAACTCACAGCAATCTTCCTGCCTCGGCCTCCCCAGTGCTGGGATTACAGGCTTCTGCCACCATACCAGCCAGAGATTACAGTTTATTTTTTATTTATTCATTGTTCAGATAGTTCAGGAGTTTTCAAAATATGTTACTTTTAGCCAAGTGTTTGGTACATGCCTGTAACCTCAGTAGTCATGAGGCTGAGAAAAGAGAATCACCATGAGTCGGATGTCAGCCTGGGCTAAAATAGTGAGTTCAAGACCAGCTCAAACTACATAGTGAGACCCTGTCTCAAAAAGAGTCAAAAGAAAAATAGATACACTGCTTTAGAGTGCTGACTTAATTCCAATGTATGTTCATGAACGTGGCATGAGACAATCACAAATTGGTTCAAAGTTCTAATTAATATGCTTGGTTACTGTTATATCAATCTAGCAAAATATTAATTTTAAGGCACTATTAAGTCCACTGTGCCTTGCTATTATAACACAATATTTTAAAAAGCCCATTTCTGTAATTTTTATATTAAGAATAGAGCTCCCAGGATAAAAGCAAATTCCGTCATTACAAAGTAGTTTCTTCAGTGTCACCCACTCAAATCAAACATTTCCTCACCAAAGTAAAAAATAAACTCATAAGCTTAGAAAATGAAAGAGTAAGGAGAATCATTGTCTTATTCCTAACTTCCATGCATTTCTTTTGTTGTGAACTCACTATAGAGGATGACTGCCTATTTTATTCTATTTCCAAGCTTGAGGTATGTGTTTTTAAAGTGTTTTCACCAGATGGAAACTACAGCGCACATTTGAAAGCTCTTAAAATAGAATAGGTATAGGTATACTTCAAAAAATTGAAAACACACTAAAATAGATAAAGCAACATTCATTACAGCATTACTTTCAATAGGTAAAGGGTGAACCCACTGAATCCACGTCCATCAACACATGAGTGGATAGCATGTAGTGTATAATGTACAACAGAATATTATTCAGCCATAAAAAGAATGAAATTCTGATATATGCCATAACATGGATGAACCCCCTGAAAACATTATGATGACAGAAATAAGCCAAAAACAATAGTGTAATAATCCTACTTACATAAGGTATCTAGAAAAGATAAATTCAGAGACAGAAAGTGGAACAGAAGTTACGAGGGGTTTTTGGATAGAAGAAATGGGGAATTACTTCTTTTTTTTTTTTTTTTTTTTTTTTTAGACAGGATCTCACTATGTAGTTGAGACTGCCCTGGAACTCACTATGTAGCCCAGGTTGGTCTCGAACTCAGAGCAATCCTCCTGCCTCAGCCTCCAGTGCTGGGATTACAGGCGTGTGCCACCACGCCCGGCGGAATTACTTCTTATACTTCTTAATCACTACAGTTTTGGGGTGATGACAACGTTCTGGAAATGGATAGAGGTGATGTGAACTGCGAATGTATGCGTCATTGAATCGTACACTTAAAATGGTAAATTACTCTGTGTGTGGGTATTTGCCATGGTAAAAAATACTACTTTTCAAAAAATAGGACAGGCACGGCCCCCATTACCATATCCAACTGCCGTACATAACTCAGCAAGTTCCAAAAACGCAGAACAATACGAATAAAGGACACACTAAGGAATGTAATGTATGAGAAGCTAAACCAAAATTCTGTATTTCCTTCATGGTAAACTGTAGCCAGATATTAACAATAATGAATGCTACTGCGTAACAAATTCTTTGTACCGCAAAAACATGGCCTTTAGTACGTATCAAATCTGAATAAAAGTACTTTTCCTATGATCCTTGACTCGCCAACAAAACTGAACTATGGGCAGAGACAGCGCCTTCTACTTGTTATCTGCCTTATGAACTCTTATCAAGCCGGAGCACTGAGTTGGCTGGTGATGGGCAGAGTACTGTAAGCTGCAAGTGCTACTATCCCTTCATCCAGTCTATTCAACAGGTAACCACGGCTTACAAACCCGAAAAGCCATTCGGTCCCACGCCGGCGCGCCCCAGGCCGGACTCTCGGTCTCCCGCCGACCTGGGCAGAGAGCCAGGATTTGAGAACTTCCAAGCGGCCCCGGCGGAAGGGCTCGGCCCTCGTACAGACAGACGCGCGAGACCCCAAACCCAGCGAATGGCCTCGCCTTGCCTAGACCCTGCCCGCTCCCCGACGCTGCCCTCACTTGTGCGTTTGCTGGTACAGCGGCTCCATGTCGCCAGCCGACGGCCGCAATTCCGACCTCCTCGGAACACGTCCTCACATCCCCCTTTCCGGCTTCTGACTTCCGGCTTCCGGTCGCAGGACCCTCCCTCCCAGACCTGTTAGGCGCGCCCGCGAGTGTGCCGTACTTGCGGTGGTTGTGAAGTCGGAAGGGGAACAAGAGACGAAGTCGGCAAAGGGAAGATAAGTGTAGCTAGATGTTCACCCTCACGGCAGGGAGGCGGAGGGCAGGGAATGTAGGTTTTTGCAGAAGCCTCGCTTCACTTTTGAGTCAGGTATTGGTTAAGACAGTCGCGCGCTGCGGGCGTGGGGTCCTTAGAACAAATATTAATTGTGGATCTGGCGAGTTCGCAGTTCGCAGGGTTCCCTGATACCTCTGCAGTCTCGAATTTATTGGGTCACTAGCCCGCCCATCTTCCTCTCTTTTCCATTTGTCTATCCAATAAATCTACACTGAATGAGTACTTAGCATATGTCCTATGTGATGTGGGGAAAATCCTTACCCTCAGAGAAAGTATGTACACAAATATTCCAAGGTAGGAAATGCTAAGTGACCCCAAAAACTGAGATTGCTTTTGGGAGGAGATTCGGGAAAGACCCGAAGGAAGTAGCATTTGAATTGGCACTTGAAAGTACTTGGACACTTCTGACGCTTCATGGACCCATTGCGTTTCCATCATCCCAGGTTTATCTACGGTTCCTTCCACGGAGATATTCCTCTCCTTTTGTCAAGTTAATGCTTCTATTTCCCTGTATACTGGCTCTCTCCCACTTTTGTGTCTCAAGAGGACATTCTTTCCCTAATATTTGTTTTTCCACGTATTCTCATATTCATTGAGCATCTACTATGTGCCATGCACAGATATCAGAGTCTTTGGGGTGGGTCAATTATATTCTTAAGTGAAATTATCAAGTAGCATATAAGCCACCATTGATACAAGTGCAAAAAGGGTTCATGGACTAAATAGTATATGAATAGGGCCTTCAAGAATCAATGAAGTTTTATCCGAATGTAGGGGCGCACACGTGTAATCCCAGCACTCTGCAAGCTAAAGCAGGAGGATCACCTTGTAGTTCAAAGCCCGCCTGAACTACATAGCGAGACCCTGTCTCAAAAACAAAGAACTACCCCCCAAAAAATCAATAAAGTTTTAACAGTGTCTTACATAAATACTAACCACTGTGTTTCTTGTATTGATCCGGTAGAAACGAAAAGGCGGGTATTTGGGGCTGAAGGAATATCTTAAGCAAAGGCAAACAGGGAGGAAGAACTTGGATCTCCTACGGTTGGATTTAAAGGACTTGCAGGCAATAATAGCATTAGAAGTTTAGAGCCAGATGGGGGACCTTAAATGTCATGCTTAGTATTTTATTTGTAGATATTTTTTTCTTTCTATAGGTAATAAGCTATCAGAGGTTGGATAGAAACAAATTTCTCGAGGAATTTTTATGCCTGTGATTTCCTTTTGATTCTCACAGCATCCCTTGTGAGGTGAGGAAAGCAGATAAAAAATTGAAATCTAGAAGATCTCTTCCACCTCACAGTCTCTTAGACTTTTTGCCTGTGCTCATGCCTTCCTGCAAATAGAATAAAACTCCGTCTCTCCATCTTGCTGCATTTTTGTCTTTTATATCATTTCTTTTTTATCATATGGCTAAATCATTTGGATAATTGATAACTTCTTACCTTCTTTGTGGATGACTTGGCCGTCAACCTCTCTTTCATTCTACTAGAATTGTTTTCTAGGCTTGTTGAAGCCCACCTGGCTTATTCCAATGATGTCCTTCCATAGATCATCTTATATTGTGTGTTCATTGTATGTTCATAGTATGTATTAAGCACAATTCAAGGGCTGAGGTAGGAAGATGAGTAAGACACCATCTTGCCAGAGAAGTTCCTTAATGTAGTGGAAAGAAAATTTCTACACAGATGATTATAATACTCTGTGATCAGTATGAGCTATAGCTAATTAGGAACTGAGGGATTAGAGAAGGATATTTAGCCTAGTTTGGGGATTCAAGAAGGATTCAGAGAAATAATGCTGGAACTAACTTGAAAGATAGGCCCCATGGGGAGAGCAACCAGCAGAATGGAAAGACATAAGCAAAAGCAGAGACATGATGAACAGGGAAATGACAAATAGTTTCATATTGCTAGAACATAATGTACAAAAGGACTAAAGGTGAGACCAAAAATATAGACTGTGGTCAAGTCAGTCTAAGGAGCTTGGACTTAGTTTTTTAGGTGGTGGGGAACTGTTGAAGGATTTCATCCTCTGGAGTTACACGAGCAGATTTACATTTCAGGCAGATCACTCCAGCTACAATCCAGTAGGCCCTGTGGTTCAGGGAAAGTGAAATTGGTTAAAGGACTATTTTATTAGTATTTAATTGATGAGGGATCCTCTGGGAATTGTGTGTGTGTGTCTGTCTACCTGTCTATCTGTTTATCTTGGCAGGTCTCACTAGGGTTTGTGGGACCCCTGACAAATAATTTTGAAGGCCTTGGCTTTTCAGAACCTGTATGTATCAATCTATGTGGTACTTCTTGCCCCTTTACTTCCCCATACCATTTATTTAGTGCAGCTTATATTATTATTCATGATGCTACATCATTCTTCCATGCCCATGAATACTGGCGTCCATGCTTTGTTAATGATGAAACTAATGGCAAGTTTGCCTAAAGTATGAAGGAAAACATGAATAAAAATTTACCAGCCAGAATTTTTTAGTGTAAGTGTACAGCAACACATCATCCAAATGTGTCTTCCCTTGATTTTTTTTTTTTTTTTGGTGTTACTGAGGTATTGTAACCTTCACAATGAGCCACATCTCCAGCCCATTTTAAATTTTTTTTTAATTTTGAGACAGTGTCTCACTAAGTTTCTAAGTTTCCCAGGCTGTGCTCAAACTTTTGATCCTCCTGCCTCCTCCTAGAGTGCTGGAATTATAGGTGTACGCCACCATGCCAGGCTTCCTCTTGAATTTTTAGGCCTTAATCACTGCACTCCTGGAACTTAATCATTTTCAGTGTTGACTGCACCCTTGATTACCACACACTGAAATTGGTTGGAGCAGGAAGAGAAGTCCCATTCGTGCAGGGAATGCCTGGCCCTCACCTGGCATAGCTTAAGGCCATCCTAATAGTTCAGGATGTCACTGTATTGATGAGAGGTAAGAGAAGACATTGATCATAAAAATTAGTTGGCATCCTGAAGTAATAATCCCAAATGGAAACAATAGACAGGGCTGCTTCCATAGCTGCACGTGGTATAAAACCTGTAGGGGGTTGGGGTGGCCACCCCATACTAGCTGGAGGTGGGAAGCTCCATGCAGATGAAGAATGCTGCTACTCTCACTATTCTGGCATGATGTGGGGCAGAGGCAGCACTGTGGTCATTACTGACTGGCAAAACCCAGACAGATGGCTCAACCCCTAGGGTTGGTGGGAGACTGACAGTAGCCCAGAATCCTGAACTCCTGTATCCAATGTGAATGGAAATCTCCCAAATGTATCGAGTCATTACCATTCTAATGTGCCAGGGATCTTGTTTGCCTAGGTCTCAGAGAAACTGTATAGTAGAATAACAGTTTCGTGTTCTTCGCTACTGCTACCATTGAGAAGTGGAGTCTAGTTCCATTCCCTTGGAAGCTAAGAACACACACTCTTTGTGATCAGGTGCTGCATAACAAACTATATACTTCAAGATTCAGAGTCTTTAAAATCATCCATTTTACTACTTTTCTTGCTTTCACGGGATGGGAACTCAGGCAAAGGCCCAGTTGGTCAGTTCTTCTATTTCATGTAGTTCCAAAGTCCAGAAACCCTAAGACCTTTGAGCTTCTGCCCTGCCTTGTGTAGAACCCAGTTTGAACTCTGAGCCACCATGGAAAAAGTCCATCTGGTCTGAGGCCATCATGTTAGAAAGGCCTTGTGTAGGAACTCTGTTCAACATTTCTGGGTGAGCCCAATCTTTCAGCCATTCCCACCAAGTGAAAAGGCATGAGCCCAGCCACTCGGTACCTTCTATGATAGTCTGCCTGCTTCCTGAATCCCACCACATGACCTCTGTAGACTCTACATGAAATAAAAGAATGGCCGATTTAGCCTCTGCTTGGGTTTTTGTCCCATGAAGGCAAGAAATATGCTAAAATGGATGATTTTTAAGCCTCTGAATTTTGAGATAGTTTGTTATATAGCATTAGACACCTGACCTCAAAGAATTTATGATCTTAAATAATTTTTTTTTCTTTTGGTACCAGGGATCAAACTCGGATCCTTGTGCTTGTGAGGCAGGTGACAGAACCACTGAGCTAAATCCCCAGCCCTAAGAATTTATGATCTAGTTGACAAGGTACAGAGATTATTTGTTTTTTTTTTTTTGTTTTTTGGTGCCGGGGATTGAACTGGGAGCCTTGCGATAGCAAGGCAGGTGGTGAAACCACTGAGCTAATCCCCGGCCCCCAGAGATTATTAATAGTAACAACGCAAGATAGTGTATGAATATGAATGTATGAGTAGTAAGGACAACTGAGGATGCAGGAAAGGAAGATATTCCTTTGGATTATGATGATGAAGGAAGGCTTTCCAGAACAGGTGTGATCTCAGCCATATCTTTAAGTACAAGAAGGATGGAGATGTGTAGAGAGGCAACCCTGAAGTGTTCCTGGAAGTACAGAAGTAAAGCAAGAAAGGTGGTGGCAAGCCCAGAGAGTAGTTTAGGTAGTTTCTCTTGGCTGGGGCAGAGGACTTCTATAGTAGAGGAAAGTGCAGCTATAATGCTGAATTAGCTAAGTTGCAAATAGGAAAAATGCTTTGTCCCCATGTTGTGACATGAGATCATCCGGTGGGCTTTGGTCTTCAGGTAATGGAACAAAACACTGTTTCCAGAAAA